TTGGCAAATACTGCTTCGAATTGTTGAGGTATTTGTCAATATTATTGTTATGGAGATTGAGAAAGCAGAAGGGGAAAATAAGCTGCTGCTCGAGAAAGAACTTATGGAATTTGCTGAATTACATAATAATCTTGAAAAGGACTCAAGCATGAACAAACAAAGGACTGACAGTCGGAAAGGGACTTCAAAAGAACTCTCGAATAAGATCAATGGCGAGCTACAAGAGTATGCACAAGTAAACCAATCAAGAACCTTCTTAGCTACCTCAACCATCCACTATCTACTGCTTACAGCCATTGAATCATACAACTTTAATTTTCCCAATAGATCCATTGCTTCTCAGAATAACAGGGAATCATCATCGTCCATAATAGATCTTTGTTTGAAGATGATGTTGTTTGTCTTAAAAGTGTGTCTTCGCCATCTTAAATTTGTTGGTTCAATAAGAAGTGGAACAAGTGGTGATCCTTTCAGAAGACTGTTGTGTGGAGATATCAGACTTCTAGGGAAACCAGTAATGCAGCTCGTATGGCTGCTCAAGTCAGTACTGGAAAAAGACAAGGATCAAAGAAAGAAAGATGCCAGTGGGAAGATGAACAGAGAAAACATTGACCCATTATTTTTGTCCTTATTATGCTTGAATGAGTTGTTCAAGATGAATTTTTCTGGGGCTGAGCTGTCTGAACTTGTTAATGACTTGCTTTCTCTGGCTGCACCAGAGTTGGATCTAGAAACTGGAAGGAATGCTGATCCGGGCATTAACGAAGAGAAAAGCTTTCTGAACAACTATCAACATATGAGATTTTTACATTTGTTTTTAGAAAAAAGAATAGAACCATTATATTCCTCACTGATAGATCTTTCACTATTCCGTGAATCTGAGGTAAATCTAAATTGTTTTTTCTGTTTGTTTATAATAGTGATTGACAAAGATAGTATTGCAGTTCTGATACTATGGGATGATATTTGTAATATCATTGTTGTCATTTGTCGATTTTGTAGTCTTTTATGTTGGATGTTTATTTTTTTGTTTACCTGGAATTTCACAACTCTGCCTACTTTGGATGGCTAGGTTTAATATTTTATTGATTGCCTTTGGAAGATTTCAAACTCGGTTTATGCTGAAGCTAGTAACATCGGATGATTGAATCAGCCATTGTTGTTGGTCTGACAGTTTCTTTGTTTTTGCTGGTCTGGAATATAAGTCACTTTTGTAATCATCTAGAACAATTGATCTATTTAGATAGCCTATTCACTTTGGCTGATACCAAATAAAAAAAAAATTGAGCTGAACATCATGTAGCTTGTTTTGTCATCCATTGTCCACAGCGCACTTCATTTTCACATCGGGCACCATATTTCCTTGGATTGCAGCTAGAATGTATATTGATCTTTGTAGTTCTTTTTCACATCACGGATCTTCCTGTGTTTCTAGAGAGCATCTATCCTGTCTTGGAGAATAAAGTAAAACTTTCCTCTTCTCAGGTGCTAGCTGAATTATTATTGATTGTTGGGAACAAATTGCCACCTGCACAAAGGAATTCTCATGGAAACTGGGCTGTGAGTGTATGTCAGAGCAAAAAAGTAGAAAATTCTAGTGCAGCACAGAATGTACTGTTACTTGCGATTCATCTGCTACCAGCTCCAACTGACCTAATTGTTGCATGTGACATGGCCTCCGAGCTGCTGAAAGTTATGGGTTCTGAAGATAAAGATCCAGAACATAGATCTGTGAAGTATCCTGTTATTAATCAGTCAACAAGAAATGCAATTGCCACTATAATTCTACGAGTGGCTGAATCTTGTATTGTTGACTTGGAGTGGGCTGTATCAAAAGTGAAGGCAATTTCTGCATGCAATCATGTACAACTCGATCTGAGAAAGAACCTTCAATTTGCTGAAAATTTACATGGACCCTATTTGCAAGAAGTGCTCTATTCCAGATCAGAATCACTGGTGTATCTGTTATCTTCATTTGTAGAGATGAAACTTAAGGGTATGTGTCATCACTTAACATCATGAAGGTGCCTTTTTTTCATTTTTTTAGGGAAAAAGAATTACATATTTGTTAAACTGCAGACTCTCAAGCAGAACAGTTACTGAAGATAACTACAAGGTTTTACAAGCTTTTGGCTCCTATGACAAAGCTTCAGATTGCTTCAAAAGGTTCCAAACAATTTTTACCTAGTTTAAAGTTTCAGAAGCTAGCAGAAGTAACATGTATAAGGCTCACCAGTCCCCTGTACAACTTCGTGGCTCTTGTTCAAAGGGTATTGTATCTGCAACTATTTGCATTGATTCATTCTTTTCTGTTGTCTATAATCCATGTAGGCTTGCTTTTTAACTTAGAAATGCTTCATCTTGTGCTGTTTTGCAACTCAGAACCAGAATGCTCAGCATAAGGGAATCATCAGCAAGATCAAAAGGGAGAATAGATGCATTCCGGATCTGATATTCCAAATTGAAAACTATGAGAAATATCTCATTCAGCTCAGCAAGTCAAATAATGTTAATTTGTTGAGATATGCCAAGCGCAGTATTGCAAGGGATTTTAAAATTTTGGAGACAAAAAAGGTTGTGGTGGGGGAAGAGACAACAGAGCACGAGCATACTCTGTCCGGTTCTACTTCTGAGAATGGATCTAGTGGGGAATCTGAGGGCCCAGATGAGGAGAATATATCTGAGAAGACTGCTTCTGCTGAGCCTAACGGAAATATCACTGATGTGGACTCTGAAAATGATATGAATAATCAAGAGATGTTGATAAGAAAGAAGAGAACCAAACGGAGTAAGGTTGTCGAAGATTCAGATGAGGAAGCATGAGGATTACGTACATAGGCCTACTATGCTTTTCCAAGTCATATATTCTCAATCTTTCAGTCCTCTCGAAGATCCTGAGTTGAGAATCTAACTTGATAAATGGACAACTAAAAGAGCAAGATTGGAACCTTCAACTATGGATAAGTATTATGAATTTTTCTGTCAGAAAACAAGTTGTCTCTCTCTAATATTTTGAACTTTTTCCAATGATCGTCTATGACATGTAATCACTCTGCAATATGGTTGTATCACATTCCACTCTGCTTCTGTGTTGTTTCGTGTTGGTACTTCACCATTTACTCTTGGATTCATGGATTCTAGTCCTCGGAGGCATTGGTTGTTTCGAGTTGGAAGAAAAGAAAAATCTTCAGCTGAATTTATAATCAATAACTACCTGCATTTTAGTAATGGCATGTCTTTTGCAGATATTAGTTAATTTTTAAAAAAATGTTATTTCATGATTGTAGATATTTGGTATTGTAGGCCAAAAAGAGTCAGTGATATCATGTTATGAATACAGGGACTATTGCAGTCCCCTATGATACTTTAATTTTCAACAAATAGAGAACCTGTCTACTAAGTTAGTTTGTATTCCTATGAGTTGTGTACATGGCAATGAATGTAAGAAAGCAAACTGACTCTATGAATGCAAGGAAGCAATGAATGTAAGAACCTGTCTACTAATTTATCTTTGGACAAGGGTTGTGTGGTTGAATTTTTCTTTTTCATTTTGTTGGTTTAGATATATGTTTCTTCATTTTTATTGATATTTTAGATTGAATTTGGGTTGTATTCTTATCTTTGAGTTATATTTTGATTATCAATATAGTTGGGTGAGTCCTTGACTCATCAGGAGTCATGTTCTAACCCACAAGGCATAATGGCATTAAAGAGCATTGATATGCTTAAGTGGGCATTTGATGCGAGTTAGAAACTCCATGAGATATATATACACTGAAGTGGAGGATGTAGAGAAGCACTAAAGCAAATGGGGCATTTGAAGGACTACATTTTTATGAGTCAGTTGGCTGATGAGAAACATCTGCTTTTGGTTGTGTTAAGTCAAGTCAGATCAAATCTTCATTGTCAATTTTCTAAATATGAGAGATCTGTCGGCCTTAGCAACTTAGTTTTGATGCAAATCATTATAAGAGTTTTTTTTTTAGGACATTGTATGGTGTATGAATACCTAATAAAGTTCTTGAGATCATTAATTTTGATGCAGTTAGCCTTTCTCATTCATGAAAACGCATAAGAGATTTACATGTGAAGAGAGAAAAAACAGTGAAAATTTGTGTTTTTCAAATTTTTAGAAGCACTATAAAATATAAATAAATGTAATAGTCTCTCTCTCACTCTCTCTCACTCACACACACACACACACACACATATATATATATATATATATATATATGTATATATATATATATGTATATATATATATATATGTATATATATATATATATGTATATATATATATATATGTATATATATATATATATGTATATATATATATATATGTATATATATAAATATGTATGTATATATGTATATACATACATATATATATATATACATATATATATACATACATATATAT